GGGTTCTTTGTTGGACGGACTAAATGTTGGGATAATCAAATAAGTTAAGCTAATAAAATATAAATAATTAATTAATTTGATTGACAATATTCGAATATTAAGCAAGTTGGCCAGCTTGATCGGGACAAAGAACATTCTGGGTTAGAACCCTTGACACGTTCCCTTCTTATTGACAATATTAACCTTATACAAAAAAGTTTCCATAAATAATGGAGGATGGTATTTGAAGGTTGGAATCTTATAATTTTTGTACCCTTGAAAAGTAATCATTAATTTGTAGCAAGTTGCATGAAATTTGCTAGATATACATAAAGAAGCCCATAGAGAATACATAAATTTGTGGGTGTCGTGCCATTTTTTTTTTTTTTTTAAATACATTGTGAGGTCTGCACAAATGTGTGTATTCTGGTGGACCTCTCTCTGTACATGGGGATAAACCAAGTTGCATAACTTGTGGATGAGTATGACTAGAGCCTAGAGGAGTAAACAAGGTGAAATTATTACTTTAGGAACCTGGCTCGTGGATTGAAAGTCAAAATCATTTTGGGACTTTTAACCTAATAACTGTGGTAGTTTGATCATGAAATTTGTTTGTTTGCCCATTCCTCAAACATGGTGGTGTGATTTAGCCCCCGCTTTCTGAGATTAACCCATGTTTGGCTCTCATTATTCCAAATTAAAATGAGAAGAGTAGTAATTTTTTGGAGAATGTGTGTGGTTAAAAAAAAAGAAATAATTTTGAATTTACGTGTAATATTATTTTATTGAAGAATGTGTGGTTGATAAAAAGAGAGAGAAACATGAATTATAATTTAATGGGGGCCAAACGCTCCATAAAAATACATTTAACTTCATGAAAATTGCAGTTAAAAATAAATAAAAATTATGCATCCAGTAAAATATATATTCAAATAGCTTATTATATTTAGGGAAATTATAAAAAATCAGGGGTTTAAAGATAGTTTTTTAAAAATCAGATCCAAAGTTTATTTATTCAAAATTCAGGTAATATATCAAAACCCTAACCCTAATTCATCGCTCTCAACT